TGAATTGGAGCATATCTTTTATAAAAAAAAAAGCCCAATCTTTCTAAAATGTTTCAATGGTTAACTATCCTCACTGTTAAAGTGTGTGCCTTATTCCTAGTCCACATTTGTCTGCTTCCAACCATTGGCTCTTGGTATTGCTTTATCTATTGAAATGAAGGGCCTTCTATTAAGAACAAAAGAATGGCCATACTGGGTCAGACCAAAGGTCCATGAAGCCCAGTATCCTGTCTTCCAACAGTGGCCAGTGCCAAATGTCCCAGAGGGAGTACCAGAACTGGTAATCATCAAGTGATCCCTTTTCTGCCATCCGTTTCCAGCCTCTGACAAACAAAGGCTAGGGACACCATTCCTACGCATCCTGGCTGAAAAGTATTGATGGACCTAACCTCCATGAATTTATCTAGCTCTTTTTTGAACTCTAGTAAAGTCCTGGTTTTCACAAAACCCTCTGTCAAGGAGTTCCACAGGTTGACTGGGCACTGTGTGAAGAAAAACTTCCTTTTGTTTATATTTAACCTGCTGCTTATTAGTTTCATTTGGTGACCCCTGGTTCTTATGTCATGGGAACAAGTAAATAACTTTTCTTTATTCACTTTCTCCACATCAGTCAGGAATTTAAAGACCCAGTCTTTTTAATCTCTCTTCATATGGCACCATTTCTAAACCCTGGTCATTTTTGTTGCCCTTTTCTGAACCTTTTCTAATGCCAGTATATCTTTCTGAGATGAGGTGACCACATCTGTATGCAGTATTCAAAATGTGGGCATACCATGGATTTATAGATTTAATTATTCCTAATCTTTGTTTTTTTGACTGCTGCAGCACTTTGAGTGGATGTTTTCAAAGAATTAGCCACAATGACTCCAAGATTTCTCAAGTGTTTAGAGCTAAATTAGTCCCCATCATTTTGGATGTATAGTTGGGATTCTCTTTTTTTCTTCAATGTGCATTATTTTACATTTATCAACATTAAAATTCATTTGCCATTTTGTTGCTCAAACACCTAGTTTTGTGAAATCCTTTTGAAGTTCTTCACTATCTGCTTTGTTCTTATCTGTCTGGAGCAGTTTAGCATCATTTGCAGATTTTGCAACCTCACTGTTTACCCATTTCTCCAGGTCATTTATAAACATGTTGGAAAGGATTGGTCCCAGGAAGTACCCTTAGAGGACACCACTGGTTACCACTCTCCATTCTGAAAACTGACCATTTATTCCTACCATTTGTTTCTTGTCTTTTAACCAGTTATCAGTCTGAGAAGACCTTCTCTCTAATCCCATGATAGCTTACTTAAGCGCTTTCGGTGAGGCACCTTTGTCAAAAACTTTCTGGAAATCTAAGTACACTGTATCCACTGGATCTCCCTTGTCAACATGTCTGTTGAAACCCTCAAATAAACCTAGTAGATCAGAAAGGCATGATTTCCCTTTACAGAAATCATGTTGACTTTCCCACCAACAAAATACATTCATATATCTGTCTGGTGATTCTGTTCTTTACTATAGTTTCAGCTAATTTGCCCGGTACTGATGTTAGATTTACCAGTCTGTAATTGCCACAATCACCTCTTCCTGACATTTGGTACAGAAGATGATTTAAAGCATGGCTACTCAACTTTGGAAGCCCTGGGGCCACAGTGATTCTCACAACACATGCCAAGGGTTGCAACTTAATGCATGCAAATATATATATGCAAATAGCGTCTTTCAAACGGATCGGCTATATATCAATGTCAGGGAGCTCAGGACAGGCCATCTGCCATGTCAGGTATTTCTAGCCCACATATACAGTAGGTGTGTCTCAATCCTGACAGACAATACAGTTGCAATATTGTATATAAACCAACAGTGATTCTCATTCTTCTCACTTGTGCCAGGAATCCCTGCTACTTATGGGAGTTTTGTATCCTTTATGCAATCCATTTGGAAGCCATACATCTCCCAGGAAGCCAAAACATGCTGGCAGACCATCTCAACCATTGCTTTCAAAATTACAGGTGGTCTCTCAGAGTAAATATAGCCCTAAGCATCTTTCATAGGTGGACATAGCCCACCTAGGTCTCTTCACAACAAGAAACAACAGGAAGTGCCAGCAGTTTTCCTCCTTCCTCAACCACAGCCCAGAATCCTTAGGGGATGTGTTTCAGCTGCCTTGGATGCCCCACTTACTCTGCATGTTTACCCCTTCCCTCTTATACACAGGGTCCTCAGAGTGAGGCAACACTGGCCTTCCCTAATCCTCGTGGCACTCTCCTGGTCCCACTAGCACAGGATCGCCACTCATAGCACTTCTCATGTTCCCAGATCTCAATAGGACCATAGCCAGTTATGTCATTCCAACGTGAAGTCCCTCCGCCTGATAGCTTGAAAGCTCCATGGTTAAGGGATTGATTGATTATGTTCTGAGTCAGTTCAGGAGGTATTATTGAATAGTAGGAAACTTTCCATGCCAGTAACAAAATACAAGCACGCCACACTCTGGATGTGAAACATATTTTAGATTTTTATTTGGAGAAAACAAAACTGTTTCATACGTTCCCCCAGCTCTTCACCACCATGGTGGAAAGGATGAAGGGTCTGTCTATGTCCATCCAGTGTATATTGGTATGGACCACAGTGTGCATCATGGCCTGTTACAACTTCACTGAAGTATTTGCTCTGGCACTTACAGCCTATTCTACTACACCCCAAGCCTCATCAGTGGCTTTTGTGATGCAGGTGCCCATCTTGGATATTTTCAGGGTGGCCACCTATACTTTTACTAACTATAATGGCCTCTTCCAACAGAGTAGGGATGATGCAGCTTTTGGCAGGGCTGTGCTGCAGTCCATTTCCAATTAGCCTCCAACCTGCCTCTGTCAGTTTGGCTTGCAGCTCACCTGAATGGAATGGACATGAACAATCACTCGAAGAAGAAAAAATGGTTACTCACCATTAGAACACCATTTACTGTTGTTCTTTGAGAAGTGTTGCTCGTGTCCATTCCAAATCCTGCCCATCTGACCTTTGTTGGAGTGTTCCGGTAAGAAAGAACTGAGGTGGCGGAGGGCTGGCAAGGATATATATATATTCACCGCCATAGAGGCGATATGGTAGGGGGTTCTCCTGCCGACCCAGTGGAAACCCCTAAGGGAAAAGCCTTCTGGCAATTATGCATATGGAGCACACACACCTACATGGAATATACATGAGTAACAGTACAAAAAGTAAGTAACCATTTCTTCTTTCTCCAACAGGACTTCTCAGTGCAGCCCCGGAGAACTTTACATTTCAGCATGCATGGTTTCACTAACGATCCTGGTGAAGCCTAATTCAGTGACCCAGACATCACAAAGATTAAGTTTAGAGGTCATCACATATATTGTCATTAGACTCTATTATAGCTGACTACCACCTTTTTGGTGGTGGGACCTTGACCCAGATGAGAATAAATCAGGCTTTTTCTCTTTCCATTAAGTTTCTGTCTAATAAAGAATATATGTGAATTCTGATCTGGAAGAACACGAACTAAATAATGGGCACTTAGACAAGTTTCAAATTGTTCTTATCAGCTTCTTGTAACTTGAACACTCCAGTTCATTTTTTTCCTCTCTTTTCCTTCTTCCCCCCTCCCTCTTGTATTATTTATTCTTGGATCTGGACTTTTAATGCTCCATTCATCTGAAGAAGTAGGTTATACCCATGAAAGCTGATGATAGCATCTACATGTTTTGTTTTTATTTAAGGTGCTGCTAGACTATTTGTTGTTTTTTTAAGTTTTTCCAGTTACAGACTAACTCGACTGCCCCTCTGAATTTCATCTTTCCTGATCATAAGGAAAGAATTTATTATTGACAATATACAGCTGGGACCCTCTGCAAAGTCAAAGCCAAAGCAAGAGAACAAAGGAGAGATGATTAGGTATATTTCCTTTGAACTTCAAAGGAAAGAGATGTGCATCCCAGTGTATTCCTTCTTGGAAGAAGTGAAAGGGATAACAGAAGTGCCATAATGAACTGTGAGTGATCCAGGGCAGCTGGCTACAATAGTTTGGTGGAGGGCAGACATCCTGGGAGCTGGGTGAATGGTTTTCTGTTTCTTGAATAAAATGCCAAAAGCTGTGGCCATGAAATCAAAGCAGACAGGTATCTGAGGTTAGTTAAGACCTTGCCTGAAGGAAAGCTAATCAGGAACTTAAAAGGATTCCCCTGGGTAAGAGAGGGGGGAGGAGAAAGGTGAAGCACTGAGAGGTGGAAGTGCATTGCTAGAGAGCTAGGGATGGGCAGGGGAGGGGAGTGTAGCAGGTAATCATTATTACAAGCTAATTTTTAAAAAATAGCTTGAAAGGGAAGATGCAGAGCTTAAGTTTATTTTCATGTTTGACACCTACAACAGAGGTTTAAACAAAGACCTTAACTGGATTACCCCCTACATTCCACATTCTAATCATATAAAAGGCTAAACGTCAGGTACTTAGGAGTACTTAGAACCCTCTCTATCAGCTTCATTTTGCATGGAAATTCTAATTGAATATTCTTTTTCCATTTTTTCCTTTCCCTCCCCTCCCCTCCCCATCCCCTCTTTTTTTTCCTGCTATTTATTTGGAACTTGAACCCCTTAAATTCCATTCATCTGTAGAAGTGGGTTGTGCTCATGAAAGCTCATACCATCTACACTTTTGTTAGTCTCTAAGGTGTTGCAGACTATTTATTTTTAAGCTTTTTTTCCTATAACAGAAGCGACTTAGCTTTTACTATGATCACTGCTAACAGCAGAAGACACTTCTGCAGAGGTGTTTTCTGTTGGTTCTGATGATGCAAACTTTAGCTAATAAGTCTGGATTGGTGGACATTCATGTTCTGAAAAGATGCCTTTATAAGTATGAACATAATGGGTTTTATATAATACAGATCTTTGATATCACTCTTTTACTTAGCCTGCATTTATATGTATTTATTTATATAGAGAACAGTGTAATAATTGAACATTCTACATAATTTACTGGATTTTGTATTATAGGGGTGGAAAATATGGAGGCATTCTTGGACTTTCATATGGAGACAATCTGTGCACTAAAACACCCTCGGCAGCTACTTGCCAAGTATGTGAAATACAGCATGCAGTATGTACACTTTAACAATTGATTTTTTAAACAATGTTTTTTTTCTCTCCAGGTAGATTATGATGATAATTGATTGTTTCATAGCATTTAAGCTTAGACTTATTAAATAATATAAGTAATATAATTCCTGTATATCACAAGGCATTGAATTTCACTCAGTTATTCCTAGATAAAGCCCAATTACTTACTCAGATCTTTCAGTCCTTAGGTAATTAAATTGTTGTTTGCCACAGGCAGAGAACAGGAGAGAACAAGGTGAAACCAGGGTTCATGCAATGGTGAACTATGCCTAGGTGATCCCAGCATGTCATCCATGCTCCATGTTGCAGAAGGTGGAAGAAAAAACCCTGTCAAGCAGATCTTGGGGAAATGTTCATCCCTAAAATCTGGTGATCGGTTGGAGCCTTAGCATTTAAACAAAGCATACTAGGTAGTCATCTAAGAAAGAGGACTTCCCGTACTTCCTCAAAGTCCTGATCCATCTTTCTAGTGTCTTATCTTCAGCTATGGGTAATTGAATACACTCTGATGTTTCAGAGGAAGGATGGGAAAATAACCAGAGCACATCTGGGCAATTGTGAATTTCAGGGGCAGGAAGAAATCCTTCCTGACCCCTGCAAACAACCAGCTGAAACCCAGAAGCATTCAGTTTTATTATATTGCTTCTCCTAATGCAGAACTGCAAGTGTTAAGAGCATGTTGTGAGTAATGCATAGCTTTCTGTTCTGTCCATCACTCATGAAGAGATGTAAGGGACAGGAGATTAATAAATTCAAAGATTTCAGTCAGTGGGGACCACTATGACCATCCTGCCAACATCCCATATTCAAAGGCTGTAGAATGTTTCGTAGAATCTTGATTAAAGCATATATTTTTCAAAGATATTTAATCTGATTTTAAAGACTCCAAGTGATGTTAACTTGTTCCAGTGTTTACTTATCCTTTTTGCTAGGAAATTGCATCTTATTTTGAGGTTGAATTTATCTAACTTGAACTTCCAGCCATTGGGTCCTGTTATGATTTTATCAGCAAGACTGAGAAGTCTCCTTTCTTCTTCGAGTCATGTCCCTGTGGGTACTCCACTGTAGGTGTCGGGTCGTCCTGGCATAGATCGGAGTTTTCTTGAGCAGAGGTCTGCACATGAGCAGCTGTTTGTGCTCCTTTGATTTCTTGCGTGGTCCGGCTCCTGCTAGTTCCTTCTTCACCATCTGCGGTTGCAGATGGAGCAAGCCTTCTCTCCTCAGAGAAATCCTGTCAGGAATAGAATAGTTCTTCGAGTGGTTGCTCATGTCCATTCGAATCAGGTGTGTGCACTGCGTGCACCGCATCTTTTTTCCTGCAGCTGTACCCGTCGGGCTGGCAGGTCGCCCCATGGAGTGGTGCCGCTAAAGCGGAGCATAAGTACCCCTGCCAGTGCTCCCCCTCCTTAATTCCTTCTTACCACCCGTGACGGTCGTTGGAGCATGTCTCTCTCTCAGAGTAGTTAATGGTTCCCGTTTCTCTTAGTGTAGTGTTTGTAAATAGTTGTAAATAGTTTTAATTAGTTAGATAGTTAGCGAGTTCTTTGTTTTCCAGGACCACAAGGCTTTAAGGCTTGCGCAGCATGCACCAAGTTCATGCCTAAGGGAGACCCTCACAATAGCTGCTTAAAGTGTTTGGGTGAGAGCCACTTAGCAGATGTCTGTAAGATTTGCAGGTCATTCAAGCCACGCATGAAAATGGAGCGAGACTCGTGCTTGAAGCTTCTTCTCATAGAGGTGGCTCTTCAACCGGCACTGACTGGCCACTCCACGGTGCGCAGTGTGCCGGCGTTGACACAGGACGCCCCATCCCATGCACGGACTTTGGTACAGAGGGCTCGGTACCGTTCTTACTCCCCAGCACTTAAGAAACTAAAGGCTTCGCGGGGTAGGTCACCAAGCCAGAACTCCAGGTCGGGCCTACACCATCACTACATCTCACCGGTGCAGACGTCTACAAGTGCTGCTGTGTGGCGGAAGCGAGCGGGCCAACCATCCAGTCCGAGTCAGCGACCCTTGCATCGTTCCTCAACTCCGGAGACTTTTGAGGCAACACAGGACTTGATTAGCCTCACTACCTCCTCTCCATCGTCTGTTGAGGTGGCGAGGTCGAGGTCTTCTATGCCGGGAGCCATGTTGGCATCGGTTTCTCCTCCTCACCAGTTGGATCAGTCAGCACAGGTCACGTATGCAGCGGGACCATCTCCTGTGGGACAAGTAACACTTGCCTCTATGTCGTTGCCGGACTCGGCACAGGCTGCCATGCCCTGTGGCAGATCCCGGCTTCCTTAACCCCTACCTGAAAGGGAGTCAAGAGGTGCTATTATGTCCTGCAGTTGGGACATGAGCACCTATATTCCCAGCCCGCACGGCTCTTCAGGCTTCCCTGGACACCGTTGACTCTGCAGCCCACACCATGGCGTCGGGTGTAGTTATGCACCATGGTGCCCGGCTGCAGGTGTCTAGAATACCTTCTGATGTCCAGACTACTATACAGGACCTGCCTTTTGACCGCAAAGCGTTGTTCTCAGAGCTTACTGACTCGAGGCTCCATATGCTCAAAGACACGAGGTCAACTCTCCAGTCCTTGGGGATCCGCACGCCGGTTCCTCAGCGACGTCAGCTTCCCTACAGACAAAAGGGGAGAACACAGTCCCAGATCCCCCATGGGGATTACTGGAGACGCTGTCCTCGAGCTCCCAGTGGCGGTGTGGGGGTGGCTGCGGCCCTGTCTTGGTCCAGAGCTTGTCGTCGCTGCCCGAGAGGGGACAACCCCTGTGGGGTTGGACAGGGCCCCTCTCAAAAGTCCAAGCACCTGTTTTGACGATCCTCTAGAGAGTTGTGCACCAGTTTCCCCCTCGTCCCCCTGTTTGGAGCCAGGTTATCCCACTTTGCTCACGCCTGGGCAGAAATCACCACTGACGCTTGGGTTCTGAGAATAGTCAGGGATGGCTATACTATCCCTTTCCTGGGCTCACCCCCTTCCAATCCACCCGCCCCGTCCCTTTTCAGGGACACCTCTCACGAAAGCATTCTCCGCCAGGAGGAGGTGTTAGGGCTCCTCCAAAAGGGAGTGGTAGATAGGGTCCCTTCACACTTACGGGGCAAGGGGTTTTATTCCTGGTTTTTTATTGTCCCAAAACCCAAGGGTGGGGTTCGTCCCATTCTAGACCTCAGAGACCTCAAGAAGTCGGTGGTGAAATACAAATTCAGAATGGTAATCCTGGCCTCTGTCATCCCGGTGTTACAGTTAGAGGACTGGTACGCAACACTCCATCTCAAGGATGCTTACTTCCATGTGGAAGACTCAGCCACAGGAGGTTTCTCCACTTCATAGTGTCCCACTGTCACTTCCAGTTTACGGTGCTCCCCTTTGGACTTTCAACAGCACCCAGGGTCTTCACAAAATGCATGTCGGTCATTGCGGCCTTCCTCCGCAAAAAGGGGGTACACGTCTTTCTGTACCTAGACGACTGGCTAATTCGTGGTCAATCCTATGAACAAGTGGAGGCTCATGTTTTTCTTATAAGGACTCTCTTCTTAAGACTAGGTCTCATGCTGAACGAGGAAAAGTCATCATAGAATACTAGGAATGGAAGGGACCTTGAGAGGCCATTGAGTCCAGTCCCCTGCCCTCATGGCAGGACCAAATACTGTCTAGACCATCTCTGATAGACATTTATCTAACCTACTCTTAAATACCTCCAGAGATGGAGATTCCACAACCTCCCTGAGCAATTTATTCCAGTGTTTGATTACCCTGATAGTTAGGAACTTTTTCCTAATGTCCAACCTAAACCTCCCTTGCTTGTTCTATCCCCAGAGGCCAATATGAACAAGTTTTCTCCCGCCTCCTTATGACACCCTTTTAGATATCTGAAAACTGCTATCATGTCCCCCCTCAATCTTCTCTTTTCTAAACTAAATTCCTTCAGCCTTCCCTCATAGTCCATGTTCTCTAGACCTTTAATCATTCTTGTTGCTCTTCTCTGGACCCTCTCCAATTTCTCCACATCCTTCTTGAAATGTAGTACCCAGAACTGAACACAATACTCCAACTGAGGCCTATCCAGTGCAGAGTAGAGCAGAAGAATGACTTCTTGTGTCTTGCTCACAACACACCTGTTAATGCATCCCAGAATCATGTTTGCTTTCTTTGCAACAGCACCACACTGCTGACTCATATTCAATTTGTGGTCCACTATATCCCCGAGATCCCTTTCTGCTGTACTCCTTCCCAGACAGTCGCTTCCCATTCTGTATGTGTGAAACTGGTTGTTCCTTCCTAAATGGAGCACTTTGCAATGTCCAGGTCATTTTGAATTATGACCCTATCCTCCAGATTAGTCACAACCCCTTGCAGCTTGGTATCATCTGCAAACTTAATAAGCATACTTTCTATACCAATATCTAAATCATTGATGAAGATATTGAACAGAGCTGGTTCCAGAACAGATCCCTGCAGAACTCCACTTGTTATGCCTTTCCAGCAGGATTGTGAACCATTAATAACTACTCTTTGAGTATGGTTATCCAGCCAGTTATGCACCCACCTTATAGTAGCCCCATCTAAGTTGTATTTACCTAGTTTATTGATAAGAATATCATGTGAGACCGTATCAAACACCTTACTAAAGTCTAGGTATACCACATCCACTGCTTCTCCCTTATCCACAAGACTCGTTATCCTATTAAAGAAAGCTATCAGATTGGTTTGACATGATTTGTTTTTTACAAATCCATGCTGGCTGTTCCCTATCATCCTATCATCGTTGACTCCCTCTCAGTGGCTAGAATTCGTGGGAGCCCTCTTGGATGTCAGAGTGGCACGAACATTCCTCCCCAGGAACAGATTTCTGGCCATAGTGTAACTGGTTTCCGAGTTAACCCGGTTCCCCATTACAATTGCCCGAGTCTGCTTGAGACTGCTGGGACACATGGTGGCATGCACTTATGCAGTATGCTACACTCGAATGAGGC